CCATATGGCCAATCAATCCGACCTACCAAATTTCATAAGGATCGGCCGACTATATCCTATAGCTGCCATATAACTGATTAATCCAAAATGCCATAACTTTGGTGTTTGTAAAGTTAGGAAGTTGGGATTTTCTATGGGCTGTATTTTTGGCCAATCAATCCGACGTTCCCAATTTCATATGGATCGGTCTACTATATCCTATAGCTGCGATATAACTGAACGATCAGAAATGCCATAACTTTGGTGTTTTTAAAGTGAGGAAGTTGGGATTTTTTATGGGTTCTATATTTGGCCAATCAATCTGACCTACCAAATTTTAAAAGGATCGGTCGACTATATTCTATAGCTGCCATATAACTGAACGATCGGAAATGCCATAACATTGGTGTTTTTTTTATTTTCAAAGTTAGGATATTGGGATTTTTTATGGGTTTTATATGTGGCCAATCAATCTGACCTACCAAATTTCATAAGGATCGGACGACTATATTCTATAGCTGCCATTTAACTGAACGATCGGAAATGCCATAACATTGGTGTTTTTAAAGTTAGGAAATTGGGATTTTGTATTGGTTTTTTATTTGGTCAATCTATCAGACATACCAAATTTCATAAGGATCTTTGGTGTGTTTTTCAGATTTAATTTTAAACCTAATTTAGAATTGTTATTGAGCACTGGTACATATAAGAAAATTTGTACTTAGTCGTAGAATATGTCATAGAATATAAAATCAATCAATAAAATTCAACCCCCTCGAACTTTTCCTTAATGGTAATGCCAACTTTTGAGAAATAGATTTATTAAATATTATTTTGAATCTATCGCCGATACATTTTTATACCCTTGCAGAGGGTATTATAATTTTGGTCAAAAGTGTGCAACGCAGTGAAGGAGACATCTCCGACCCTATAAAGTATATATATTCTTGATCAGGATCACCTCCTGAGTTGATATAGCCATGTCCGTCTGTCCGTCTGTCCGTCTGTCTGTCCGTCTGTCTGTCCGTCTGTCTGTCCGTCTGTCTGTCCGTCTGTCTGTTTCTACGCGAACTAGTCTCTCAGTTTTAAAGATATCGAATTGAAACTTTGCACACACCCTTCTTTCCTTTGCACGCAGTATATAAGTCGGAACGGCCGGGATCGGCCGACTATATCCTATAGCTGCCATATAACTGATTGATCGGAAATGCCATAACTCTGCTGTTTGTTAAGTTAGGAAGTTGGGATTTTCTATGGGTTTTATATTTGGCCAATCAATCCGACCTACCAAATTTCATAAGGATCGGTCGACTATATCTTATAGCTGCCATATAACTGATTGATCGGAAATGCCATAACTTAAGTGTTTGTTAAGTTAGGAAGTTGGAATTTTCTATGGGTTTTATTTTTTGCCCAATCAATCCGACATATCAAATTTCATAAGGATCGGCCGACTATATTCTATAGCTGCCATATACATAACTGAACGATTGGAAATGCCATAACTTTGGTGTTTTTAAAGTTAGGAAGTTGGGATTTTTATGAGTATTAAGAATGCATCATATGAATAATTTTGGAGAATATAATTTGCAGAATATTCTGCAAGGGTATTTCAACTTCGGCTCCGCCCGAAGTTAGCTTTCCTTTCTTGTTCAATTTAACTTTGATCAAATTTTTCAACCATTTTCATGTCAGTTATTTCTAATTTGACTTGTTTAACTTTGACCCAAAATTGAACTTCGAGAGTCCATAACTTTACGAAGCTAAAGCCGATTGCAAAGTGGCATACCTCTAAAGACTTCTGATTCGATTCTCTAAAAATCTGCATTCAAATTTTTATACCCTTGCAGAGGGTATTATAATTTTGGTCAAAAGTGTGCAACGCAGTGAAGGAGACATCTCCGACCATATAAAGTATATATATTCTTGATCAGGATCACCTCCTGAGTTGATATAGCCATGTCCGTCTGTCCGTCTGTCCGTCTGTCCGTCTGTCTGTCCGTCTGTCTGTCCGTCTGTCTGTCCGTCTGTCTGTCCGTCTGTCTGTTTCTACGCAAACTAGTCGCTCAGTTTTAAAGCTATCGAATTGAAACTTTGCACACACCCTTCTTTCCTTTGCACGCAGTATATAAGTCGGAACGGCCGGGATCGGCCGACTATATCCTATAGCTGCCATATAACTGATTGATCGGAAATGCCATAACTTTCGTGTTTGTAAAGTTAGGAAGTTGGGACTTTCTATGGGTTTTAAATTTGGCCAATCAATCCGACCTACCAAATTTCATAAGGATCGGCCGACTATATCCTATAGCTGCCATATAACTGATTAATCCGAAATGCCATAACTTTGGTGTTTGTAAAGTTAGGAAGTTGGGATTTTCTATGGGTTGTATTTTTGGCCAATCAATCCGACGTTCCCAATTTCATATGGATCGGTCGACTATATCCTATAGCTGCGATATAACTGAACGATCAGAAATGCCATAACTTTGGTGTTTTTAAAGTTAGGAAGTTGGGATTTTTTATGGGTTCTATATTTGGCCAATCAATCTGACCTACCAAATTTTAAAAGGATCGGTCGACTATATTCTATAGCTGCCATATAACTGAACGATCGGAAATGCCATAACATTGGTGTTTTTTTTAAAGTTAGGATATTGGGATTTTTTATGGATTTTATATTTGGCCAATCAATCTGAGCTACCAAATTTCATAAGGATCGGACGACTATATTCTATAGCTGCCATTTAACTGAACGATCGGAAATGCCATAACATTGGTGTTTTTAAAGTTAGGAAATTGGGATTTTGTATTGGTTTTTTATTTGGTCAATCTATCAGACATACCAAATTTCATAAGGATCTTTGGTGTGTTTTTCAGATTTAATTTTAAACCTAATTTAGAATTGTTATTGAGCACTGGTACATATAAGAAAATTTGTACTTAGTCATAGAATATGTCATAGAATATAAAATCAATCAATAAAATTCAACCCCCTCGAACTTTTCCTTAATGGTAATGCCAACTTTTGAGAAATAGATTTATTAAATATTATTTTGAATCTATCGCCGATACATTTTTATACCCTTGCAGAGGGTATTATAATTTTGGTCAAAAGTGTGCAACGCAGTGAAGGAGACATCTCCGACCCTATAAAGTATATATATTCTTGATCAGGATCACCTCCTGAGTTGATATAGCCATGTCCGTCTGTCCGTCTGTCCGTCTGTCTGTCCGTCTGTCTGTCCGTCTGTCTGTTTCTACGCGAACTTGTCTCTCAGTTTTAAAGATATCGAATTGAAACTTTGCACTCACCCTTCTTTCCTTTGCACGCAGTATATAAGTCGGAACGGCCGGGATCGGACGACTATATCCTATAGCTGCCATATAACTGATTGATCGGAAATGCCATAACTTTGGTGTTTGTAAAGTTAGGAAGTTGAGATTTTCTATAGGTTTTATTTTTGGCCAATCAATCCGACTTACCGAATTTCATGAGAATCGGCCGACTATATCTTATAGCTGCCATATAACTGAACGATCGGAAATGCCATAACTTTGGTGTTTGTAAAGTTAGGAAGTTGGGATTTTCTATGGTCTTTATTTTTGGCCAATCAGTCCGACCTACCAAATTTCATAAGGATCGGCCGACTATATCCTATAGCTGCCATATAACTGAACGATTGATAATGCCATAACTTTGGTGTTTTTAAAGTTAGGAAGTTGGGATTTTTTATGAGTATTAAGAATGCATCTTATGAATAATTTTGAAGAATATAATTTACAGAGTATTCTGCAAGGGTATATCAACTTCGGCTCCGCCCGAAGTTAGCTTTCCTTTCTCGTTCAATTTAACGTTGATCAAATTTTTGACCCATTTTCATGTCAGTTATTTCTAATTTGACTTGTTTAACTTTGACCCAAAATTGAACTTCGAGAGTCCATAAATTTACCAAACTTAAGCCGATTCCAAAGTGGCATACCTCTAAAGACTTCTGATTCGATTCTCTAAAAATCTGCATTCAAATTTTTCAATTTAACGTTGATCAAATTTTTGACCCATTTTCATGTCAGTTATTTTTAGTTTTCCGAGGACTTGTAACAGAGTGACTCAAAATTGGACTTAGAGAGTCCATAACTTTATCAAACTTAAGCCGATTCCAAAGTGGCATACCTCTAAAGACTTCTGATTCGATTCTCTAAAAATCTGCATTCAAATTTTTCAATTTAACTTTGATCAAATTTTTCAACCATTTTCATGTCAGTTATTTTTTTTTTTTTTCGGACGTTGATGCACTATGATCAGCGCAAACAAGTGGCCCTTACGACACCAAGCAGTGCTTGTTACGCGCGGAGCCTAATAGGCGCAAAAACGAGATCGCGAGAAGTTAAAAGCACAATGTAGAAGCGGACAGACTAAGATTACAAATACGTACGAGACTAATACTAATACTAATTTTGTGCTAGGTAAGATAAAATTAATGATTTTAGGCTTGGCAAAGAGTCGGTAGTAGAAATAATGTGGTATAGTCTATTATAGTCGTTACACAGTACTCTAAACGGTTCATGCATATCAAAGTTAGATCTACAAATATTTAATGTAAGAGGAACATAGTTCCTGGTAATTCTATTAGGCACGGAGAAGCTTATGCGACCCAGTAACTCGGGACTCTCCACATCCCCGTGAATAAGTGTTCGTGAACGCTTGCAGCTTTAATCATCTCTACTATATAGGCGCATAACGCCATCTCTATTCTATTCTATTCTATATATTTAATCTATGTACAAAAAAAAACATGTATACAATATCTTTTGGGTTTCTGGCAACGCCGTTAAGACGGCGTCATATTGCGAAATTCAATTCAGTGTCAAATAGGCTTCGCAACTGGCAAGAATAAAATTAATACAGTCCACATATACGCAACTCAACTCGTTCTTATTTCTGACCATATTGTTGGTCCTTCGTTCCGGATTCTTGGACAGTTAGTGAAGTGCTTTGATCCTCAGGGTAATTGTTTGCTATGGAACAATTAAAAGCATTGGTGAAAAGCCGTGCCAGACTCAAGGGCAACATCACACGTTGTCTCTCATGGGCTGAGCAAGCGGAATCTGCAACACAGGCGGAGATCTCCACGCGCATACAACTTCTCCACGATGTTTGGAAGGAGTTCAACCAGTTCGGCGATTGCATTGCTCTCCACGAGGAGGTAGAAGGTTACGTCGATCCGGAGATTGATAACGCAATTTACGAAGAAAAGTACCTAAGGGCGAACGCAATTCTCAAGGACAGAAGTGATGCTCTACAACCGAGTACATCTACAGGCATTGTGAATGGCAGCAACGGTCTGCACTCCAACGGCGACGCAATTGTAAATTTGCTACAACAAAACCAACAACTATTTGAGCGACTGGCTGCAAATCAGGCTCATTCGAGCACGCCGGTTCATGTTGGTGGTGACGTCTCTTTGACGAATTCAAGTTCGGTACATGCGGCGAATTCCAATCTGAGTGAATTGCCGAAAATTCAAATCAAACGGTTCTCTGGCAACTACACAGAGTGGCCCTCTTTTCAAGACATTTATGAAAGCACAATTCATAACAAGCAACATTTGTCCAACACACAGAAGTTTCATCACTTGAAAACACTTATTGTTGATGAGGCTGCCAACTTGGTACGGCACTTGGCCATTACGGATACAGCTTACAACACCGCTTGGGAACGTCTGAAGGAAAGGTACAATCGTCCACGGCACATTGTAAACTCATTTTTGGAGCAGTTTATGAGCCTGCCAACAACTACAAAGGTAGATGCATCAATTCTACGGAAGGTGTCAGACGGAGCAAACGAAATTATTCGCGGATTGGATGCAGTCAACCAGATGGGACGCGATTGCTGGATCATCTATCTGGCCCTGGAGAAACTTGACGCCGACACGCGGCGTAGGTGGATTGAGCGCAGCATGGACACAGATTCCCCCACTCTCGAGGAATTCTTCAAATTTCTGGATTCTCGTTGCGAGGAACTGGAACTGAGTAAAAGGGAGCTTGCGACTGGTAGCAAGACAACAACACATGCAGAAAAACCAAAAAGGGTCACACAATCGATGGTTGCGGTCGAAGGCAGTGGCTGCATCAAATGTAATTCAACAGAACACACTCTGTATAACTGTCAGCTGTTCTTGGATATGTCGTCGATGCAGAGGCGATCCTTTGTAAAAGAGAAATCACTATGCTACAACTGCTTGCGACCTGGTCATGGAGTCAGCAAGTGCAAGTCGACATACAAATGTAGGCAATGCAGGGGAAATCATCACTCCCTTCTACATGTCCAAGCGAATACACAGGCTATTGGGAATCTTGCCCAGATAGCAGGGGAGGACGAGCGAAACACAGGTGCGTCCAACAACACTACGGTGACTCTCAGTCATTTCGCCCAAGGAGAGGGCACTCAATCGGTTGTATGTGCACAGGGCACTGCAAAATCTGCACAGGAAACGGAAATTAAGAGAAGCATATTACCAACTGCCATGGTTTATGTTAAAAACGCAAAAGGTGACCACGTAACATGCCGTCTCTTATTGGACACCGGCTCAGAGCTTTCGTACGTATCCGAGCGTTGCATTCAAGCTCTCGGATTGACACGTTCGGCATCACGCATCTTGGTCACGGGAATCTCTTCGGTGAAAGCAGACACGACAAGGGGATGCAGCACCTTGCATATCAAGTCACGTATCTCCGAGGATCATTTGGTTGTCTACGCCCACGTGCTAGGCAGAATTACTTCTTCGCTGGAACGCCAAAACATCGATGCATCTGCACTCGAGGCATTCAAGGATCTGCAGTTGGCGGATACAGAATTCAACACAAAATCACCTGTTGACATTCTATTGGGAAGCGAACACGTATGGTCGGTGTTTACAGGACGAAAGATGTACGACAACAAGGGTAATCTTATCGCCATTTCTTCGGTGTTCGGATGGGTAATAACCTCACTCATCACATCAAATCCAAGCAACGCTATTGCACTGACTACAACGGTAGACATAGGCGCCACGCTTCAGAAGTTTTGGCAATTGGAAAACGTTCAAAGCAGCCCAAAATTGGATCCGGAGGATGATCAGGTCGAGAAGCACTTTCTCGCCACTCACAGTCGCGATGAAAACGGGAAGTATATCGTGGATCTTCCATTCAACACTGAAAGCCCCGATTTCGGAGAAACTCTACAAGGAGCGCTCAAACGCTTTAAATCGGTTGAGCGGCGGCTGCAACAGAACGAGCAGCTGCGTACACAGTACGTATACTTTATGCGGGAATACACAAATCTGGGGCACATGCGAGAGGTGCCACCTGAAGAAAACGCTACTGGAAATCAGTTTTATCTACCACACCACCCAGTTCTGGGTCGGAAGCTACGAGTAGTTTTCGATGGATCGTTTCGTGACGCCAATGGTAAGGCTTTAAATGACACCCTGTTTACAGGTCCCAGTATCCAGCGCGATCTATTCGCTGTGTGCCTTCGTTTTCGAATGTACAAATTTGCATTCTCAGCGGATATCGTAAAAATGTTCCGCCAGATATGGGTCAACGAAAAGCACAGAAACTTCCAGAAAATCGTTTGGAGAGAAGATCCATCCGATTCCATCAAGCACTTCCAATTGTGCACTGTAACCTACGGAACTTCATGCGCACCATTCCTGGCCGTGCGAGTGCTGGAACAACTTGCTGTAGATCATCAAGAGGAATACCCAAATGCGTCGAAAATCCTGCTGGAGGATTTCTATGTAGATGACGTTCTTACTGGGTCAAACAGTGAGGATGAGCTACTTCGGAACCGAAACGAGCTGATTCAACTGATGTCTCGTGCAAATCTTGAACTCGGGAAATGGGTATCCAATACACCATGTATACAAACGGATGATAGCGACACACAACCTGCACAAACGTCACCAGTAAAGGTTCTCGGACTGTACTGGCATCCTGGAAAAGACATTCTAACGTACAATGTCGGTCTAGCTAAAAATCCTGATTGCACAAAGAGACAAGTCTTGTCCGACGTCTCGAGGATATTTGATCCTCTCGGACTCTTGGCACCCATTGTAATCCAATTCAAAATCCTGTTCCAAAAGCTATGGCTCTTGAATTTGGATTGGGATGACCCACTCCCAACTAAACTGGCGGACAACTGGCTAAAGTGGAGAGCAGATCTGGACAATCTTCAAACATTTCAACTACCACGATTTGTCGCCAACGACCCGGACAACATCGAACTCCACGGATTTTCGGATGCGTCAACCAAGGCATATGCTGCTGTGGTGTACAGCAGAGTCACGAATGACGATGGCTCCATCTCGGTATCCATTGTGGCTGCGAAAACAAGGGTGGCTCCACTGAAACAACAATCCTTGCCACGTCTAGAACTTTGCGCAGCACTTCTCCTTAGCCAACTGATTCGCTCGATCACATATGCTTTGCGCCACAAAAACATAACTGTTTTTGGCTGGTCCGACTCTTCAATAGTGCTCACCTGGTTATCGTATACGCCAGCCCAACTCAAGACATTTGTTGGAAACAGAACCTCGGAAATCCTTGACACTATTCCAAGGAGTGCTTGGCATCACGTAGATTCCAAAACAAACCCAGCGGACTGTGCGTCCAGGGGACTGATGGCTGCTGATCTCATCGACTTCCATTTGTGGTGGAATGGGCCTTTATGGCTACGGGACAAGGTGCAGTATCTGGTAAAGTTAAACGACTCACGTTTCGGTTTATCTCTTACAGACAAACGCATTCAAGGAGAAGTCAAATCCAACTGTTTGGCCACACTGGCTGAAGCAACCCCGGTTCATCCATTTGATGAACTAACCGAGCGAGTGTCTTCTTGGATCAAGCTCGTCCATATTGTCGGCTACGTGAAGCGGTTTATTCAACGTACACGAAACCGAACTCCCAAAAGGGTATCTAGCGCTCTCACATTTGACGAGATTAAGGAGGCAAGGATTCTGTGCATAAAACAAGCCCAAGGTTGTTTCAAAGACGATTACCAATTGCTCCTCGGTAAAAAACCTTTAAGGAACCGATCACAGCTGATCAAACTGGCACCCATAATCGACGAAAACGATTTGCTGAGGGTAGGTGGACGACTGCACCAATCGCAGTTGTCAAACGATGCAAAACACCCAGTATTGCTACCAAAAACACACCGCATCTCAAAGCTGATTCTGGAACACGAGCACCGAGTGAACCTCCACCCTGGCGTTTCCTCACTTTTTGTTATTGTTCGGCAAAAATTCTGGATATTTGGAGCACGTAATCTAATTCGCAAAATAACCCACGACTGTTTAGCTTGCTTTCGTCAACGCTACCACACATCCCAGCAACAAATGGCTGATTTACCCAGCGTACGCATTACACAAGCGCTTCCATTTATATATACTGGTTGCGACTATGCAGGTCCAATACTTCTGAAGGATGCAAAGGTTCGGAAGCCACGTATCAGCAAGGGTTACATATGCCTATTTGTTTGCATGGTCACCTCGGCCATCCACCTGGAACTTGCCACAGATTTGACGACAGAAACCTTCTTGGCTGCCTTGCGGCGCTTTATATCGGTACGTGGCAAGTGCAGTAAGATCTACAGTGACAATGGCACAAATTTTATTGGAGCTAAGCGATCCCTCGACGAGATGCAAGAATTGCTTTCTTCACAGACACACAAGGACACCGTGTCTAGCACACTAGCGGATGATGGTATCCAATGGGTATTTATTCCCCCGAGAGCCCCTCACTGGGGAGGGAAATGGGAGTCGGCAGTTCGTTGTGTCAAGCTGCATCTTCGCAGAATTACCGGAAACTCAACGCTCACCTTTGAACAGATGCGCACACTTCTTGCTCAAATAAGCGCAGTGATAAATTCACGCCCCTTGTGCTACACACCGGATACGGAAACCAACTACCTATCCCCAGCTCACTTCTTAATTGGGCGACCATTAACAACAGTACCAGATCCCGATTTGAGTCACATCCCAGTGGGCCGATTAGGATATTGGCAAAGCATCCAGTCTATGCTTCAAGGATTCTGGAGAAAATGGCATCAGGAGTATCTGACTACTCTGCAGCAACGTCCAAAATGGACTACTTCAACACCCAACATCTCGACCGGTGATGTTGTGCTCGTAAAAGAGTCCAATTCACCACCGGCATCTTGGCACATCGCTCGGGTTATGGAAACCTATCCAGGGAAGGACAACCTCGTTCGAGCAGTCAAATTGAAGACCCCGACAGGAGAGATGATCAGACCCATCACGAAAGTTGCTGTATTGCCCCATTCAGAAACTGTGTTTCAGGGCGGGCCGGGATGTTCGTGAACGCTTGCAGCTTTAATCATCTCTACTATATAGGCGCATAATGCCATCTCTATTCTATTCTATTCTATATATTTACTCTATGTACAAAAAAAAACATGTATACAATATCTATTGGGTTTCTGGCAACGCCGTTAAGACGGCGTCATATTGCGAAATTCAATTCAGTGTCAAATAGGCTTCGCAACTGGCAAGAATAAAATTAATACAGTCCACATATACGCAACTCAACTCGTTCTTATTTCTGACCAATAAGTTTATAGATAAAAGTTGTGCCAAGCATCGTTCTACGGTTTACTAAGGATGGTAGATTAATTAGGAGAAGTCTACTAGAGTAGGATGGTAAAATAAGGCTTGCATTCCAGTTAAGGCCCCGTAGAGCAAATAATAAAAAGTTCTTTTGCACAGACTCTATCCGGTCTATATGTACACCATACTGAGGACTCCAAACTGCAGAACAGTACTCCAGGATTGGACGGACTAGTGAAATGAAGAGAGTCTTTGTAACATAGGGATCATCGAATTCCTTTGACCACCTTTTAATAAATCCAAGTACTCCCCTGGCTTTATTCACCATAGAAGTAATATGGTCACAAAACTTAAGTTTAGGGTCAAGGAGGACGCCAAGGTCATCGACATGCGTAATTCTAGACAACGCGCAACCACCCAGCGTATACGTTGCATATTGTGGGTTCACCCGAAAAAATGTCATTACTTTGCACTTAGCGCTATTTAAATCCAAAAGATTTTCACAACACCATGTTTGAAAAGCGTTTAGGTCAGATTGTAAGTCTGAACTGCTAGAAATTTCGTTATATTGCAGGCATAACTTAACGTCATCTGCGTACATAAGGACACGCGACTTTGTCAAGACTAGAGGGAGATCGTTTATAAATAAAGTAAAAAGAAGTGGGCCAAGGTGGCTTCCTTGTGGGACGCCTGAAGTAACTCGGATCAAATCAGAGATCGAGTTTTTAAAGAGGACTCGTTGAGTCCTACCACTCAGATAACTTGAGATCCATGTTAGAAGATCACATGGAAACCCTAATAAGTCTAGCTTTAATATAAGTAGCGAGTGATTTACTGAATCAAACGCTTTACTAAAGTCAGTGTAAACTACGTCAGTCTGCATGTTCTTTCTAAAGCCATTTATTACAAAAGACGTTAGCTCCAAGAGGTTTGTCGTCGTAGATCTTCGCCTTATAAATCCATGTTGACATGGAGATATAATCGATCTACAAAGATGTTGCAAATGGGGTGTAATTGTGTTTTCGAAAAGCTTTGGGATGGCGGATAATTTGGATATGCCTCTGTAATTACTTGTACTGCATTTATTTCCTTTCTTATGAAGGGGAATGACAAATGACTCCTTCCAAATAAGTGGGAAATGAGATGTTTTTAAAGACAAGGTAAACAATTTGTACAGAGGTCTACACAGAGTTTCAGCACAGTACCTCACCACGCAGCCTGGAACTCCGTCCGGACCCGGTGAATAGACAGGCTTAACTTTATGAAGATCCAAAAGAAGGGAGCTTTCGCTTAACCTCGGACAAAAAATCAAGTTCGACTTGGGTATGGCATTTAAATAAGACGGATTTGGACGGGATGAAACAGAATATGTTGTCTGGAAAAACTGGGCAAATAGATCGGCAATTGCCTGATCAGAATTTGCCGTAGAGTTTTCGAATGATAGTGATGCAGGGTAACAGGCGGATTTACGCTTAGTGTTAACAAAATTATAAAACTGTTTTGGATCTTGTGAAAATTGGACCCTACAACGAGTCAAATAGTTTTTATAACACCGGGCGTTAAGCACGATAAAATTTGACCGAGCCCTTAGGTACCGAGAGAAGGCAGATTGTGAACCGCACATTTTAAATTTATTGAAAAGTCTGGACTTAATATTTTTTAGGTGTGACAACTCTTTATTAAGCCATGGAGGTTTATTTGAAATTGACGGATAGTATAACGGAACACACAGATAAAAGAAGGAATTCAATGCATTATAAAAGATATTAACGGCCTTAGCCACGTTAGTGCATGAATAAAATTCGGACCAGTCATAGCCGGATATAAAAGTATTTAAAAGATGAAAGTTTGCCTTACGAAAGCAGCGGATTCGTTTAACCGACTTTTCGGATTTTTTATTCAGCTCTGTTCTTGCGTCTACAGTCAGCTCTAGAGTTGGATGATAAGGATCTTCCGGTTGTGTAAGTGGTGACGTTCTTGATAGGCAAACGCCTTCTGAATTTGAAACAAAACACAAGTCCAGTAAACGTCCTAAGGAGTTCTTAACATGGTTCACTTGGGATAGCGCAATGTCAAGCAAGCCGTCAATAAAGTCATGCTGCGCTAAAGGAAGTAAAATGTTAGAGTTTTCGTCAGGGGACCATGTCGCACTAGGTATATTAAAATCACCTAATACAATTAACTGATCTCGATCCGACAGTTTTTTGGAAATGGACTGAATAACGGAAAGGTGATTTGCGTAAATAGGGAACTCAGATGATGGTGGGATATATGAACAAGTAATATATACAAAACTACCGGGAAACGATAATTTTATACCTAGGAATTCGATGTCATAAAATTCTTCGAAAGTTAGTAATTCAGACGAAAAGGTGGAGTCGACAGCAATCAGGACTCCACCTCCCCGTCTGGACTGACGATCAAGCCTATAAATTGTGTACTTACCCGGGAGAATTTCGGAGCTAAGAATATCCGGCCTTAACCAGGTCTCTGTACATACCATAATATTATATGGGAAAGAAAAACTATCCGAATACAATTTAGTCAGCTTACTAAGTAAGCCTCTTGTATTCTGATAGCAAAGAAGAAAAGAGGAGGTTAGTTTTTTGGGACAGAAGAGGATGTGGAGGGCGCTGGGGATGGTTCTTTAATGGTGTTTTCCATTTCCCCTGAACTATTCTTTTTTCACTTAGCTTCGTACTCTTTTACAAATATGCCCTCGGGCCAGAAACTGGTGGAACACACAGATGCAAAAAGAGCACAAGGAATACCAATCTTAAATGATGATACTTTCCTAGCATAAGAAAATTTAAATTGTTCGACCTTCAAATCATCAACTTGGATTTTGTTACGGATATAAGCCGTAATATCCAGTGATGAGAGGTCTGGGGCGAGCCGTGAAACAAATACATGTTTAAGCTGGGCCACCCGAACACAAGTAACCGTTTTTGGTACAACACATGCAACCCTTTTTGGTACTACAGAATTTGTATCTGTACTACCAGTATCGGCCGGTAATCCGGACGTTAAGTCTACATGAGGTGTTGGGGCCACTACTTTATTTTGATCGGACAGAGCGGAAGTACCTAGCGGAGCCACATCGATTCCAGCAACTTCGGATACCGAATCACTTTTTGCCCCCGATCTTAGTACCATTTGAGTGGCGCCTAAGATTGGCAGCTGAGCTGGAGTCGAATCGCGGGCAGCAGGTTGCACAGCACCTGCCGTAGAATGCCCACCGCGACTTTTTTTGCGCTTTGGGGAATCGGGCTCAGCTAGCATGCGAAAACACTTAAAGGTGTAGCTACGATGAAGAGATTTAAGTAAACCCCGGTGGTTTCAATAAGAAAAATGAAAATTCGGAGCGCAAAACAAAAACACGACCGTTCTCTGTGAAGACGCACAAGGTTCTGATTTGACTTGTTTAACTTTGACCCAAAATTGAACTTCGAGAGTCCATAACTTTACCAAGCTAAAGCCGATTGCAAAGTGGCATACCTCTAAAGACTTCTGATTCGATTCTCTAAAAATCTGCATTCAAATTTTTTTACCCTTGCAGAGGGTATTATAATTTTGGTCAAAAGTGTGCAACGCAGTGAAGGAGACATCTCCGACCCTATAAAGTATATATATTCTTGATCAGGATCACCTCCTGAGTTGATATAGCCATGTCCGTCTGTCCGTCTGTCTGTCCGTCTGTCTGTCCGTCTGTCTGTCCGTCTGTCTGTCCGTCTGTCTGTCCGTCTGTCTGTCCGTCTGTCTGTCCGTCTGTCTGTCCGTCTGTCTGTCCGTCTGTCTGTCCGTCTGTCTGTCCGTCTGTCTGTTTCTACGCAAACTAGTCTCTCAGTTTTAAAGCTATCGAATTGAAACTTCGAATTTCATAAGGATCGGCCGACTATATCCTATAGCTGCCATATAACTGAACGATTGGAAATGTCATAACTTTGGTGTTTTTAATGTCAGTTATTTCTAACTTGACTTGTTTAACTTTGACCCAAAATTGAACTTCGAGAGTCCATAACTTTACGAAGCTAAAGCCGATTGCAAAGTGGCATACCTCTAAAGACTTCTGATTCGATTCTCTAAAAATCTGCATTCAAATTTTTCAATTTAACGTCGATTAACTTTTTGACCAATTTTCATGTCAGTTATTTCTAGATTTCCGAGGACTTGTAACAGAGTGGCTAAAAATTGGACTTAGAGAGTCCATAACTTTACCAAACTAAAGCCGTTTCCAATGTGGCATACCTCTAAAGACTTCTGATTCGATTTTCTAAAAATCTGCATTCAAATTTTTCAATTTAACGTTGATCAAATTTTTGACCCATTTTCATGTCAGTTATTTCTAATTTGACTTGTTTAACTTTGACCCAAAATTGAACTTCGAGAGTCCATAAATTTACCAAACTTAAGCCGATTCCAAAGTGGCATACCTCTAAAGACTTCTGATTCGATTCTCTAAAAATCTGCATTCAAATTTTTATACCCTTGCAGAGGGTATTATAATTTTGGTCAAAAGTGTGCAACGCAGTGAAGGAGACATCTCCGACCCTATAAAGTATATATATTCTTGATCAGGATCACCTCCTGAGTTGATATAGCCATGTCCGTCTGTCCGTCTGTCCGTCTGTCCGTCTGTCTGTCCGTCTGTCTGTCCGTCTGTCTGTCCGTCTGTCTGTTTCTACGCAAACAAGTCTCTCAGTTTTAAAGCTATCGAATTGAAACTTTGCACATACCCTTCTTTCCTTTGCACG